GAAATTAAAAAAAAAAAAAAAAAGATGTGGTTTTATATCTGGGCTCTCTATTTGGTTCACTTGATATATGTGTTTGTGTTTATGCCAGTGCTGTGCTGTTTTGATTACTGTGGCCTTGTAGTGTAATTTGATATCTCCAATTTTGTTCTTCATTCTCAAGATTGCTGTGGCTATTTGGGGCCTTATGTAGTTCCATATAAATTTTTGGATTATTTGTTCTGCTTCTATAAAATACAACATTTGTATTTTAATAGGAATTGCATTGAATTTGTAGATTGCTTTAATATAGACATTTTAATATTCTTTTTAACAATGAGCATGGTATATACTTCCATTTACTTGCATCTTTTTAAATTTCTTTAGTATCTTACAATTTTTCAAGTACAATTCTTTTACCTTCTTGGTTAAATTTATTCCCATTTTTAAATGCAATTGTAAATGTGATTGTTTTCTTAGTTTTCCACTCTGATAGTTCATCCTATATAATAAAACCCTAATATGAAAATCTACCGAATGGCAGAATGACCAGTGGAATGACCCATCGCTATGACATGCACTGACCACCAGGAGGAAGATGCTCAATGCAGGAACGTCTACCCCCTTCTCCCCCCCACACCACTCCCACCCCTGCCTCCCAAGAGGAAGGTCATCAGCAGTGGTGATCAGGACGTAGGGCACCCCAGATCGCCCTGCCAGTCACCCCACAGTTCGGCCCTGATTGCCGGCCAGGCTTAGGGACCCTACCCTATATATTGGGAACAGTCTCTTAGATTTAAACATTAAAACCTGGCAAGGCTACTCTGACACTGAAAATACAGGATGATGCAGTGATGATATTCATGGACCGTGGCTTGCATATTTTGTGGTCAGCCCTGATTCTGACACTTATAACTGTGACAAAGCCAGTTACTTAACTTCTGCTTTAGTTTTTCCACCCATAAGATGGGGGAAATGGTACTACTGCCTCAGAAGGATCATGTTATGTACTACTTTTTATAATCTGGGCAAAAAAAATGTAGCTGCCCATACAACAGCAAGATGCCTTTCACCTGTATGAAAAGTATGGTCACTGGTGCATGCAGCATCCTGGATTGTGAGAGGGATGTCTGACTGCTGGTTTAGGCCCAATCCCTGAGGATGCAGGCTGGGCTGAGGGACCCGCCCCCATGCACGAATTTCATGCTCCAGGCCTCTAGTTATCCTATATTATAAAAGGCTAATATGCAAATAGACAAAACAGCAAACAACTGGTCACTATGATGTGTACTGACCACCAGGGGGCAGATGCTCAATGCAGGAGCTGCCCCCTTGTGGCCATTGCGCTCCCACAGGGGAAGCTCTGCTCGGCCAGAAGCAGGGCTTACGGCTGGTGAATGCAGTCGGGGTTGGCAGCAGCACTAAGGACCTGTTGGGGAATGTCCACCTACTGGCTTAGGCCCACTCCCCCTGGTCTAAGTCAGCAGTAGGACATCCGCCGAAGGCTCCCGGACTGTGAGAGTGTGCAGGCCAGGCTGAGGACCCTTCCATCCCTGGGTGCATGAATTTCGTGCACCAGGCCTCTAGTAGAGTATGGTGTTAGTTGTGGGCACTGTGCACTTTTATATATATTAGATGGCCAGAATCTGACAGTCTCTTAAGAGCTAAGTATTTAAACCTGGCTGGTGTGGCTCAGTTGGCCCCATACACTGAAAGATTGCGGTTTGATTCCCAGTCAGGACACACATCCAGGTTGTAGGTTCAATCCTGAGGTCGAGGCACGTACGGAGGCAACCAATCAATGTTTCTCTCTCACATTCATGTTTCTCTTTTCTCTCTCTCTCTCAAAAAAAGAGCTAATTATTTATATCCGCTTTCCTGATGAGAAATAGACTATTGAAGAAGTTAGATTCGAGGTCCCAAGGCTGGTGAGTTGGGGACACAGCTGGGCAAGAAGCCAAGGGCTATTTACTCATAAATGGAGGGGCTTTTGGGGGAGAGGATAGTGTGGCTCAATGTGTGGAAGCAGAATGTGGAAGGAGACTTGCAGTAGGAAATAGGATCCAAAGGAGAAGGAAGAACAAGGTGGCTTCCTGGCCTGGTTCCTTTTCACTACTACCAAGCCAGGCAGATTTCTCTGTTTTCTTTCAATCACTGTCTCTTCAATGGAAAGAAAGCCATGCTGGCTTTCTGCAGAAGCCATATGGGCTCACGGTAAATGATTTAATCAGAACAAAAGAGCAGAAGGGGACATGAAAAGCTCCTCTGCTTTGGCCCATCTCAAGAACTTTCTCAGAATGTCTCATGAGTGCCGGGATTCATGTTGCCATCCTTTCTGTGGTTCCTGGCATGAGTCTGTTCTCTTGAAATGTTTGTGAGGATGCCCGGGGCTCTCCCTCATATTCCCTTTTCTATTCGGTGTGGGATTTGGGTGCCTGGATCACAGCACGTGTCCCTTATCCATGTTGGGCTTCCTTCCGCTATGCACAGCAGAGGGAAACGCAGCATCGCGTTACTAACGGAGCACGGGTCCCTGTCACCTGTCAGAAGCAGGGCTTCTCTGGGCTGAAGCACAAGGCTCATTGCTGAAAGCCTAGCAGGGGCTTCCTACGCCCTTTTTTTTGAACTGAGGATAACTGAGCCTGCATAGTCCTCTTCCTCCCGCAGGCCCATCAGGTAAGAGAGAGCAGAGGAGTTGGCCAGAAGAACAGTCAAACCCAGGCTGCATGGAGGCAGGGAGTGAAGGAAGAGGGAGCCCGAAGTCTCCCCTGTTATAAAATATAGCCACTGTCCCCACCAGTAAGACATGGTCCAGGAATGCCTTGGCTTTGAGCAACTCCTCCTCACTCAGAAAGGACTAATGATGTGCATTCCCTTCCAAAAATGGACATAGTAGTGGAGTAATGGAAATATCTCTGCATTAAACAACACTAAGTTTCCCCTATTAAAGCCACACCTTTGGTTTAGGGCACAATCCTTCCAACAGCCCCACTTGAACAAGCAAATACCCTTGAGCAGACTATGTTGGGTTTTTTTTTTGTTTGTTTGTTTTTTGGCTCAATGGATAGAGTGTCAGCCTGTGGACTGAAGGGTCCCGGGTTCGATTCTGGTCAAGGGCACGTACCTTGGTTGCGGGCACATCCCCAAGAGGGGCTGTACAAGAGGCAGCTGATCGATGATTCTCTTTCATTGATGTTTCTAACTCTCTATCCCTCTGTCTTCCTCTCTGTAAAAAATCAATAAAATATATTTTAAATATGTTTTTATTGATTTCAAAGAGGAAGGGAGAGGGAGAGGGAGAGGGAGAGAAAGATAGAAACATTAATAATGAGAGAGAATCATCGATCTCTCAATTAATAATGAGAGAGAATGCCTCCTGTACATCCCACACTGGAGTCAAACCCGCAACCCAGGCATGTGCCCCGACAGGGAATTAAACCATGATCTCCCGGTTCCTAGGTTGATGCTCAACCACTGAGCCACACCAGCCAGGCTAAGTAGAATATGTTGATGCCTACTGTCTTAGGAATTGGAAACCAAAGATAACAAAGAGGTGTAGACCCTGATCTTGAGGAGCTTACAAACCAAAATGGGAGACAGACACCCACCTGACAGTGGAAATAAAGTTCGGTTGTAATAACAGTGGCAATAGCTAATTGTCCATGAAACAATTACCAGGCACAGGCATTTGCCAACCATATCACATATTTATCTCGTTGGGTCCTCATAACTATCCTACTCAGGTAATTTTAGCATTCCCAGTTTTCAGATGAGCTTAGCGAGGGGAAGCAGCATGCTCAGAGTCACCCAGATAGCAAGGGGCAGAGCCAGGACTTGCACCGAGTCCTGACGGAAGTCTTCGATGACATTCCTACCATAGAGGGCAACACCAGGTGCTGCAGGTGCCCGGAGAAGAGCAGTCCCCCAGATTGCAGAGGTCAGGGGAGGCCCACAGAGCAGCTCCCACAGCCAGCCAGTTAAACGGGGGAAGAAAGAGGGAGCATTAGTAGGTCAGGTCTTCACAGGGTACCTCAGTGGGAGAGGGAGGGGAGGAGGATGCTGAAAGGGGCAAGAATAGTATGGAAAGGGGTGACCTGAAGGCTGAACTTCATCAATATGTGTATTGACTTCCTTCACCTCAAGGTTAATTCAGTGGTGCTCAATAGCAACCACCCTTGAGGCTGGTTGACACAAAAATATTTATTTCTGAGGAGAGCACGAATGAAAATATCTAAGAGAGGAGGGAGGGGGAGACATCAGGGCAGCAGGAGCCGGAATCTCAACCATCTGGAATCCTAGTGAAATCTGGCGGCCCATTCGAGAGTCTCAGGTATCTTGCCAGCATATTTTTTAAAGGAGGAGAAAAACACAGTAATGTGCCTGCTATAATAATGCACCAGAAACTCCTCACACAGACATTTACAGGTTTCTTGCCAACGGCCCGGAGAGTGCATAATGGACTGATAGCAAAGGCAGCAAGGGGGAGAAAAAGCCACCGCGTGATTGAGCTGTGCTTCCTTGGGTTTCTATTATCATTGCCGCCTTTAGCCATATGCTTTTCAAAGGCACTGACAAGCCTGGACCGGTTTCAAAGGGATTCCTAAACCCAGATTTCAAAATCGTCATTGCGTCTCCGGATTGTCAGCGCGCTCTGCACGGAAGGCACGCGTTTATGGGAGTTCTCAAATGTTTCTCCATAAATGTTGATCAGCCTCTCCTGCCATTACACGAGGTGCCTGGGACGTTGAAAATAGTTGCTAATAAATTGCCAACCCAGTTTCATTGCCAAGTCATGAAAAGCATTTCTCTTCCTTGAAATAGGCTGTCTTACCACTCGAGTGAGTTCTAGAAGCTGCACACAAAAGGCAATAAGATAGTTTTCTTTTTTTAGTCTGTTTGGTTGTTCCTTACCTCCCTCACCCCCACTGCCACTTTTTAAAAATGGAATGAAAAACAGATCCAATCTGCTGGGAACACAGGTTTTTAAGTACAGCGTGGACCCTGTTAATGCCATAGCTGTCATCTAAGACTTTTGTCTCTTCTTGCCACCACTGATATCCATATGGTGATGACTCTGCCCCCATTCCAGGTCTTCCCCCATCCTTTCTCTCGCCCTCCTTCTGCATGCAAACCTTGCTCAATGTCAGAAACAGAGCAATTAAACTAGAGGTGGGAAAGTCAGGCGGCTGATGAGTCTGGAACAGAGACTGGAAGCCCCCAAAACCTAACGGGGCCCTGGAACCCTGCAGTGTCCCTGACTCCATCTTCATCCTAAAGGGCAGCAGGATGCTTTGCAAGCATGGTGGCATCATACCAAAGGCTTTGGAGAGCTAAAAGCCACAAATCATACCAAAGGCTTTGGAGAGCTAAAAGCCTTAACAAAACACTGGGTGTTTTGTTAAGGCTTGTGTGAAGGGAGTAAAGCAGAGGGATAATCCTGTAAAGACACATCTTCCACTTCAGAGAAATTTGGGGATGGAAGGAGGATGCAGAGATCTGGCATATGGTGGAATATTCCATCCGAAATGGAAGGAAAGTTGCTTCCCCTTGTGCCTCAGAACCGAGAAGAAGACCAGTGCATTAAGGACACCCTTGAATGTTGGAGGCAGCATGGTTACATGTTTAAGTGTCTGCTCCACACCCCTCATTGGATGACACTAAATGCTCCCTGGGACCCAGTACAAAGTCATGATGAGCCCCTTGAGATGAAAGCATGGGATCATTGAATTTTTTTCTTCGGCATGGATGGCAGCATGTGGGCATTTTTCTAAGTACTTGATGTGAATTAACGCATTTGAACCTCCTAAGGGCACATGGGTTGTATGCAAAGCTGGCATTTGATCCTAAACATGTGGCTCCCAAGCCCATTGTTCTTAATCACCAAGCTGTACTGCTTTCATTTTTAGAGCTGTTACCGTGTTTCCTCGAAAATAAGACATCCTCCGAAAATAAGACCTACTTACAGGTTTCCTTCTGAGTGAAATATAAGACATCCCCTGAAAATAAGGCCCCCTAGGAGTCACAAGAAATTCACCAGGAAATTCAGGAATTGGATTGTTATGATGATGTTCCAGAAGATGATGATATGATTATCATTGAATAAATGAGTACATTCTTGATACTGTAGGATTCACAGTTTATCTGATTTGTGTTGACAACTACCGTACTACCGTACCGTATACAGGTAATACATTTCCTTTATTTTCATTTAACAATAAATGTGTATCGTATTCTTCTTCATGGAAAAATAAGACATCCCCTGAAAATAAGACCTAGTGCATCTTTGGGAGCAAAAATTAATATAAGACACTGTCTTATTTTCGGGGAAACAGAGTAGTTAATTTTGGAGACTGCAATTTCCAGGGCTATCCATTCTTTTTTTAAAAAATTTAAATATATTTTTATTGATTTCAGAGAGGAAGGGAGAGGGGAAAAAAGAGACAGAAACATCAATGATGAGAGAGAATCATTGATTGGCTTCCTCCTGCATGGGGATCGAGCCCACAACCTGGGCATGTGCCCTTGACCTGAGTCAAACCCCAAGACCTTTCAGTCTGCAGGCCAACGTTTATCCAGTGAGCCAAACCAGCTAGGGCGTGATGCCCATTCTTCGTCTAATCTATCATCATTCCAGTAGTCTTCAACCTACGGGGTGAATAATAAATTTAAATACTGCCTGAACACCCACTTAATAGTGAGAGGTGGAGATGAATAAGAGGAAGAAATTTGCCATACTTAGCATTTTAAAGAAAAGGAAAGGAGAAGGTAATTTATTCAGTCTTCAAATACTATGGAAACAGTACGGAAATATGCAATTAATTGAGAATATGTAATTTATACATACAAATTTTATTTTTATTTTTATTTTTTAAGGGAAAAAGGAGTGAGAGAGAAACATCCATTGGCTGCCTCCTGCATTACCCCCACTGGGCACTGAGCCCAGAACTCAGGCATGTGCCCCCAGAGTCAGATGGGCAGCCTCTCCGTGCAAGGGATGCTGCTCAACCAAGTGAGCCACATGGGCCAGGGCACCAATAAACAGCACCTTTTAAAACAACATTCCCGCCCCCCCCCCCCCAGCATTTTCCTTCAGACTTATAACTTCAGATAAATCAATCCCTCTTGTTCATTTCTCACACAACCTTGAGTTCTGGTATGATTCTTCCATTGGCTACATTTACATCCTACCCATGTAGTAAAACACCTTTCTCTTAATCCTGAGTCATCTCCCCAACCTCTCCTTTCACTGTTCAGTACATGGAGGGGCCCATTTGAGGGCTTATTTTGTGGAACTCCTAAATGTGATAGAACAAATTTTGCTATTATTTTTAATCTCACACTGCCCTCTAAGGATTGTGGGGTCTTTTGTTTGCCAAGTTCAAATGACATCATTGTCTCTAGTATAATAAGCTTCTACATTCTTTTTAAAAAATATATATTTTCATTGATTTCAGAGAAGAAAGGAGAGAAAGAGAGAGAGAGAGAGAGAGAGAGAGAGAGAGAGAGAGAGAGAGAGAGAGAGAGAGGGAGAGGGAGAGAAACATCAGTGATGAGAGAGAATCATTGGTTGGTTGCCTCCTGCATGCCCCACACTGGGGACTGAGCCACAACCCAGGCATATGGCCCGACTGGGAATCAAACCATGATCTCCTGGTTCATAGGTTAATGCTCAGCCACTGAGCCATGCCTGCTGGGCATATATATACATATATACATATATACATATATACATATATACATACATACATACATACATACATACATATATATATATATATTTCTTTATTGATTAAAGTATCACATATTTGTCCTCATCCTCCCATTTCCATCCCACACCCTTCCCACGCATGACCCCACCCTTCTGTTGTCCTTGACCACTGGTTAGGCTCATATATATGCACATAAGTCCTTTGGTTGATCTCTCCCCTTTATCCCCACCCTCCCTTTGAGGTCCAACAGTCTGACCCATGCCTCCTTGTCTCTAGGTCTGTTCTTGTTCATCAGTCTATGTTGTTCACCATTTACCCTGGATGAATGAGATCATGTCCTACTAGAAATACACTTATAAGAACCGAAAATAAGACAAGCAATAATGGTTATGCTGAAAGGCAAATGAATCAGACTGTAGTGAGTTTCTTTCTGGGTAACTTCTATATTTTTTGAAGAAAGAATTTACAGTAAATGCTGGGATTGGGGGTGGGGTGCTGTAGGTATGTAATTTTGGATACAGAAGCTAGAAGAGAGCAAAATTACTATATTTAAGGAATAAGGAACTATAAAATAGAAATAATAATAGCTTCACGATTTAGGATTATATTGAGGGCTGACCGAAATAAAGTATCTGGGCACAGTTCTTAGCACATAGCAAGGGCTGAACCGATGTTAAAAGGTTTTGCACTGCTATCATTTTGTTGTTGCTGTTATATAAGCCTTTCTTGAAAAAATATGCTAATGATAGAAACAGAATTAAAAAGAGAATAAAAATTAAAAACTATAAAAGATGTTTGGAGGTGTTACTTGTAATACCATTTTAAATACAGAACTGGGAACTAAAGAAACTAATGTTGTAGAACAAAATGTATAGGTTATAAACTTGGGCAATGAAAACGAAAACAATGTACTAAAAGTCAGAGAATGGGAAGAAGTATGAATGCTACTTGTTTTAGGTGTGTCTCTAGAATATAGCATACAGTTGACTTTTGCTTTGTGAACCTATCTGAAAGTCTTTTTGTCCTACTAGCTAAAATTTGCTTACTTACATTAATTAATATGATGTGTTTAGCTTTGTTCCTATAATATTTTGTTTTATACTTTCTGTTTTGTTAGCCTTAAAATATTTTGCTATGGCCTGGCCAGTGTGGTTCAGTAGTTGAGCATCGACCCATGAATCAGGAGGTCAGTGGTCAGGGTATATTGCTTGGGTTGCAGGCTTGATTCCAGAAGGGGGCATGCGGGAGGCAGCTGATAGATGTCTCTTTCTCATCATTGATGTTCCTCTCTCTCTCCCTCTCCCTTCCTCTCTCTGAAATCAATTTATAATATATATATATATATATATATATATATATATATATATATATATATATATTTAAAAAGAACAATCAATCTTTAAAGCAACATTTTGCTAGTTATTTGCTTTGTTTTCTTTTTCGTTGAAATTTCATTAAGATAACTATAGGTTCACATGCACTTGTAAGAAGAAATACAGAGAAATCCCATGTACCCTTTTTAAAAATATATATATTTTATTGACATTTTACAGAGAGGAGGAGAGAGGGATAGAGAGCTAGAAACATCGATGACAGAGAAACATCGACCAGCTGCCTCCTACACACCCCCTACCAGGGATGTGTCCACAACCAATGTACATGCCTTTGACCAGAATCGAACTTGGGACCTTTCAGTCCACAGGCCGTTGCTCTATCCACTGAGCCAAACCGGTTTCGGCTCATGTACCTTTTATGAGTAATTTTATTTCATTTGTAACATTTTACAAAACTAGAGTACATGATTACAGCCAGGATATTGTCACTATATTGTGCATATATATATATATATATATATATATATATACACACAATCACCAATATTATTCAGATTGTTCCTAGTTGTTTGCTTTGTTTTGAGTGCATGTTCTTTTAATAATTTGGAAGTTTTACATTTTATTTTATTTTTTAGCTTTGAATTTCATGGAGCTATTTTTTAAAAATTGAGATATATTGACATATAATATTGTATTACTTTTTGGTGTACATGTATATATATATTACTACAATAGGTTTAGTTAACATAATTACTACATAATTACACTTTTTTCTTGTGATAAGAACTTTTAAGATCTACTCTGTTAGCAACTTTCAAATATACAATACAGTATTGTTAACTTTAGTCACCATGCTGTATGTTATATCCCCAGGACTTATTTATCTTGTAACTGAAAGTTTTTACCTTTTGACCACCTTCATCCATTTCGCTCACCCCCTATGCTCCTGCCTCTGGCCATCACCAATCTATTTTCTGTATTTATGAGTTTA